CCCCTCCTCCCCAATCCTCGGAATCAGAGACCACACCTCCCTTCTTTCCCCGAGGTTTTCAGCCTCCTCCCTTAGAACCAGAAATCACAGCCTTCAGATCCCTCCTCTCCTAGACCATGGGAATCCAAGTGTACCGCTCCTTCTCCAGGGTCCACCCACAGCCTAGAACTGTCCCCCAGCCGCCAGCCCGGCCCTCGTGGGGCGTTAGCCAAGGCTGCGGGAGGAGGGGTGGGCGGGGTTTCTGAGGCGGGAAGGCGGGGCTTCGGTTACTGGAGCCAGTGGAGAGGCAGAGGCTCAGTGAGGCCCCACCGAGCCAGCTCTAGCCGCTCCCTCACACGCTTCAGGTCCGACAGGTCCGGCTGGCCGAGCCGAAAGCAGGAGGGACTTTCACTGGGTTCCTTCCTTTCCTTCCCCCCTACGGGCAGCGGCATAACCGGTTCTGAGAGTGGATAATTCTCAACCCCGCCCAATATGCGGACTGTACCCAAAGTCTAGAACTGGGGCCTCCTCCCATGAGGAGAGGAGTGGGCCTAGAAGCTCTGAGACCTGGAAGAGGAGACAGCTGGGTGCCTGCACCCTTGGATTTTTGAAGTGGTGCATCCCAAAATCCAGACCCCTGAATTCCAGCACTCAGAGGCCAGATTCAGAAAAACATTCATAAGACATCAGGCCAGCCTTAGGCCAGAAGCCAACATGATATCTTAAACCCACAACCTGCTCAGAGGATGCGACCGCCGATATTTTAGGGAGGCCACTCTAGTACCTCAGATTCACTGAGAAGACAAATCACAGCAGGGTTGGGGTAGGATCTAGAAATCCAGTGGCAAGAAAACAATACAGAATGCAAAAAAGACACACGCTTCCACGCTTACCACGTTGGGGGGTTGGTTGGGATTTTAGCTCAGCAGTAGAGCATTGTGCAAGGCCATGGATTCCAACTCAGCACCAAATAAAAAATAAAAATAAAAAATGCACACATTGGGCTAAGTAGAGGGTCATATTCTTGAACTGAGGCCTAGATCTTGGAATCAACCAAAAGCAGCTCAATAACTTAGAGTTTCTTGGTTATCCCAGGACCCCAAACACAGAGAGGAGCATAAGGATACCCAGGAACATATCTAATGTAATACATAATGAGTCTAGTCAGAAGGTGTGACTAGAACTCAGAACTTACTAGGGATGAAGGTATTAAAATGGAATACAGCAGCCGGTCACATTCTTGGTTTGATCATGTCTAGATAGTGCTAAAATGAGAAGCTCTAGAATGCAGAGCATGAACTGCGGATGAAGAAAAACATGAAAAGTAGCAAGGAGTTTGCCTGAATCTTGGAAGTATCTTGGGGAAAATGCAGAAGGATGGATGCTGAGAATTAAGAATTTCCTGGGAGCTGGGCATGATAGTGTATGCATGTAATCCCAGCTACTCAGGAGGCTGAAGCAAGAGGATCACAATTCCAGGCCAAGCTCACCAACTTAGGAATTTGGAATTTAGTAAGACCCTGTTTCAAAAATAATAATAATGAAAAGAGTTGAGGATGGGCTGGGGTTGTGGCTCAGAGGTAGAGCACTCGCCTAGCATGTGTGAGGCACTGGGTTCGATCCTCAGCACCACATAAAGTAAAATAAAGACACTGTGTCCACCTATAAGTAAAAAATAAGTATTTAAAAAAAAGAGTTGGGGGATGTAACTCCAGTGTAATGTAACCTTGATTTCACTCCCCAGTACCCAAAATAAATAAATAAATAAATAAATAAATAAATAAGCAAGCAAATAAACAAATAAATAAATAATTTAAAAATAAAGACTGAACTGGCAAAGGAGGAGGATGTTCTAGAAATGAGAACATTTCTAAGCATAAGACTCCAGAAGAAGAGAAAGCCTAGAACATGCTTGGAATGCCAACATGGCAGATGGAGGAGAAAGCCCACAATCCATTATGGAACAAGTTCTACCCTAAGGCCACACTAGGGGAAAAGACACAGAAAGTTGAAATGAATGGGCCTAGAAACTAGAACCTGAGGAAAGAAAATGTAATATAGAACACTTCATTGGGAATATTTTTTTGCGGGGGTGGGGGTGGGGGTGGGGGTGGGGCGAGGAGGTACCGGGGATTGAGCTCTGGGGCACTCAACCACTGAGCCTCATGCCCAGCCCATTTTTGTATTTTGTTTGGAGACAAGGTCTCACTGAGTTGCTTTGCACCTCTCTTTTGCTGAGTCTGGCTTTGAACTCGTGATCTTCCTGCCTCAGCCTCCTGAGTAGCTAAGATTACAGGTGTGCACCACCATGCCCAGCTCATTGGGAATCTTCTAGATTTAAGATTGTGAAATTAGATGGAACCTAAAACAGAAAAATGCATTCTAGAATTGAGAACACAAATTGGAGGAAGGCCAGAGCAGGTAATTTAATACACACGTTCTGGAACTTAGAATGTCCCTGGGAGGAGAATGGAATCTAGAACAATGCCAAGGATGTGGCTGGAACCTAGAACACACCTAAAATGAAAATTTAGCAGACACTAAGGACTGTTTGCTAGAAATGTGGAATATGTCTGAGGAGATGGTGAGATCAGAATTTAGTTTGTGGACATTATCTAGGTGTTTGAAAAGACAAATAAAAAAACAACAAAAAAAAAGGTATGCCCAGAATTCAGCATCTGGTCTAGAACTTAGATCATCCCTTGGGTGAAGATAGAACAGAGATATTAACTGGAAATGTTGTGGCACATAGAAAGAATGTAGAATATGGAACAATGCAAGGGCACATGTGCAATTGGAAATATGGAAGATGGCAGGTTCTAGATTGCCTAATGAGCCTGGACCGCAGAACATGTCTGGGGGAAAGGGATGCATGTTTGGCTCATTGTCCTCTTGAGTGTGTAAAGAATGGGGCATCATGATATGGGGCTAAGGAGGCAATGCAGTACTGGCAATGTCTCAATCCAGGATTTAGGGCACAGAAGACAGAGGAGATTCCAAAAGCCTAGCTCTGAGATGATATGGGGATAAGGCAGGGGTTTGTCAAGGCCATAGGAGATGTGAAATTGAAGGGAGTCATGAAATTATGAGCACCTACCTAGACCCCTTAAAGTGAGAACTAAGAAATTAGATACCAAGGTGGAACTGAGGTGGGGACCTGGAATCCTGAATCCATGTGGATGTTAAGGACAGGGGCTTAGAAACTTGGAACCCAAGTACCTCTTGGGCTGGGGCAGACAGGCAGTACTGAGGCTGCGGTCTAAATTCCTAGATCTTAAGGGGATGCTGGACCCAGGACAAGACACCTAGGTGTCCAAGGGGACAGGTGAAAAGAAGCCAAGGAATCACATAGAGATTGCATTCCAGACCCTTGAAAGGAAGAGAGTCATGGCGCCTGAGTCCCTGAGGGTACCAGAAGTCTCAGTAATATTGTCTGAGGGGCATGTTAAACTAGGTGCTAAGGGGAGGGGGTGTTGGGCAAAAGCTGGGAAACTGGATTCCTAGGTCCTGACAGGGTGAGGGTTATCAGCCGGGTCCGGCAGAGGAATGACAGCTTCCAGAACCTGGTGGGAGCTGGATGCCCAAGTGCTAAGGTCTCTAAGGTGAACAGAGCCCTGGTTCCTTGGAGAGCAGCTGGAGTTCCAGAAATCTGGGGCGCTGAGGATGGGGCCTGAATGCCTGGCCAGCGGAATCCTGCGGCCCAGGTCCGGGAGGGCCTGGGTATCCCCGGGTCAAAGGCACAGCTGGGGGTATCCCCGCTCCGCCTTGCGGCGCCCCCTCCCTGACAGCGCGGGCTTGAGGTGGGGGAAGCAAGGCTGCCAAGTGCGCTGACCATGGACAGCTCCAGAGCGGGCCTGTGTCCAGGGCGGCGGGCGAGCCGGCCTGGACGGAGAGACGCGGCCAGCTGTTCAAGCCAGAGGCTGGAGACCCGCACACCGGTGCGCGAAGGGGGACTAAGTCGATGCGACGGGGGAGCGGCCGGCCGTAACTGGGGGAGTCTGAAACAGCCGCGGCCGGTGTCTGGAGCTCCCGGGACTGGGCCAAGGAAAGCGACCCAGGTTCAGGAGGGGTACCTGGGCTGAACTGGCAAATCCAGGCTCCTGGGCCCTGGAGGAGGCTCAAGGAGGCAGCACGCCTGGGAGTCTAGGGTTCCGTTGGGGACTCTGGGAGCCAGGAAGGGGCACGCCTGAGTCTCCTGTGTTGGGTTGTAAAATCTGGGTTTGGGGTCCCCGGGGACCTGGAAGGAAATCCAGGATCTCGGGGAAGCAGAGGAGTCTCGCCGAAGGGTCCCCAGGGTGGGCGCTGCCAGGCGGGCTGGGCCGGGCTCTTACCTACCTGGTCCGCGGCGGCTGCGGGCGGAGCTGGGCTGCAGGAGGGACGTGGGGTGGGGTGGGGGGACCGGGCGGGGCCCCTGGCGGCGGCCGGGGCCCGGATCTGTAGCTCCGGAGCCCTGTCTCCGCGGCTCGCGCGGGCTCAGCGTCTCTTGCTTGGGCTTGGGCGCTGGGGACCCCCTCCCTCTCAGTCTCACAGCCCTCTACCCCTTAAAATAGCCCCCTGTCCCTGTCACCGTTCAGCCTCCCCCCGCGAGGCCGCAGCTGCCAGATCCAGGGGTGCCTACCAGCGCCCCCCAAATACCACCTTCCCCCCCAAAAAAATTTCTCCTCCCTCCCCCTCCCCCCCACAGCTCTCAGGCGGTCTTGGCCCCTTTAACAGGAGACTGACAGACGGCATTGAGTAACCAATGAGAGGCACCGTCGCCGCCGGCCGGCGTCTAGACCCCGCCTTCGTACGGGCAGGGAGGGGTCGCGCGGGCGGAGAGCAGGAGGCGGGGCTTAAGGTGACTCGGCCAATAGGCGCTCGGCGTGCGGCGGCTGGGGCGGGAGGCGGAGCCCGGCTGGGGGATGATGTCACCTGGAGCGAGTAGCGCGCGGCGTGGAACGCGAGTCGCGACCCTGGATCCTGGAGGTGGCGCGCGCCGGCCCTAGCGCCGCACGGGACACAAGGGCTGGACGGGCAGTGGGATGGGGGTAAAGGTTGTATTTTAAGGCAAGGGCGGTTTCCAGAAAGACGGGCTTTGGTTGGAAGGTGGGTTGAGTGCCCGACGGATGAGTGCACCTTATTCCGCACCCCTGCGCCTGCCTTGGGAAACTACACCAGGCCCCCCCAGCTCTCACGCAGACGATAGTGCGGCCTGCGAGGCTCCCCTGGCGGACGAGGCTAATGGTTCGCCCCGCCCCGCCCACACAGAGGCCGCCCACTGGCTCCAGCTGCGTTTCTTGACTTCTTGGTCAGACCGGTTACTGAGGAAGGCGCTTGGCTCTCGCCCTCCGACCCTCCTTGGGGTAGGGCGCATTGTCTTCAGTTCGGCCCGCTCATTCAGACCCAGCCTCTGCCCTCCGATTTGACCCTCAGAAGCCGGCCTAGCTTCCGCCTTCAGACCTAGGGAGAGGTCTCTACCAGCGTCTCAGACCAGATTCTGGCTTCATCAGGGCTTAATCTCCACCTCAGCTCTTCTCTCTCCCCCACACCTCAAGACAGTCTACCCCCAGGCTGCAGGACAGAAACACGGACACTCAATGAGGGTCAAACATCTTTAAATAAGGAGCCAGTGACAATAAATACTGTACAGGGGGAGAGGGTGAGGGTGAAGATCCAGATCTCTGATTTCAGCCTCGAGATTCCAAGGACCTGCGAGGAGGGTGAAGAGAGGGGAGCCAGGCTCAGGGAAGGAACCCTGGAGGAGCATAAGAAAGCTAGGACTGGGGTTTCTGAGGGAAGGGCCCAAGTAGGGGTTGAGGAATTCCAGGAGTAGGTGGGGATGAGAGGGAGCTAGAGAGTCCCGGGGAATTAATTCACAAGGGTCCCAAGTGGGAGTCTGAGCCAGGGGGTAAGATCAGCATACCCAAGGAGAGGAGCCAGGGCTGGGGGAGGCCATCAAGGTCCTAGGAATCACTGGCCTGGTTTGAGAATCTGGGGTTAAGGGGAAGCAATGGAAGCCCCAGGGGCGTGGTGACCAGGGGCTCACGAGTAGCTCTGGTGCTGCTGGCGCCTGCGTGCAGAGCGCATCTTCTCAAAACGGGCCTCCATTTCTTCCAGCACTCGAGGTGTGTAACGCACCACCAGCTTCACCGAGCCCTGGGCGGCCTTCAGTAACTCCACTGCCTTCTCATGCTGCTCACCCTCAACACTCTGCAGGGCAGGACCACACAAGACAGCTGGGCCTGGGCCTGCTACCCTTGCCCAGCCCTGGCCCAGGAAACTGGATGAATGCTGGTAAAGCCGGTGCCTGGCCTAGATGCCATGAATTCCTATCCTCCTTGTAGGAGAGTCATTGACTTTTGGCTCAGCATTCTCCCTAAAACTGTCCAGATTCCCCATGCCAAGGACACTCTCATGCCCCAAGGCACTGAGCCAGGCCATCTTGTCATCTCCCTCCCAGAGGCCACTAATACCCTCCTTCTCGATACTCACAGCCTTGGTCGTAGCTCAGGTCTTGTCTTCTCCCCTCTGGACTCAACCTAGCCTCCCCTCTCCATCCATCTCCCACAGATTCCCAGAAGGTGTGTAACGCACCTTCTCCAAGCTATACCTCTCCCTCTGGTACACTCAGCCTACCCATGGCTCCACAGCACCCCTAGGGCTAATGCCAGCTTCGCAGGCCCCAATCACCTAGTTTACTTCTACTCTAACCACACGGTTTTAATTAACTACATGCCCCAGACCTCCATCAGACCAAGCCCTTTCTCTTCATCTCAAAGGAGTGCAAAGTCACAGTCCCTTCCTATAATACTCCTTTCACTTTGTCTGGAGAACTCCAACTCATCTTTCAACACCCAAATCAAATTTTCCTTCTTCTGCAAAAACTTTCCTCATCTACACTGGACTGGTGCCACATCTGGGCTCTCACGATGCTTTGGATTTCCTCATGATTATGTCTGTGGATCAGGACTATTTCAGTCAGGGTATATGTCTATCACTAGAGAGGGAGTCCTTGAGTACTGGAGGTGCTTCCCACAGGGTTTGCAGCACTGCACAGCAGAGGGCTGGCCCCAGAAGCAGTGCTAAGCTAGTGCACTGAATGAACTTCAACCAGGGACTGCTACAGCTGGGTCCCAGACCTGCTTCAGCCCTCCACTCACCACACCATTCACCGACAGCAGTTGGTCCCCACGTTTCAGACCTCCATGGCGATCGGCCACTCCTCCAGGAATGACACGGGAAATGTAGATGGGCGAGTTCTGCTCTTTGCCACCCATGATGTTGAAGCCCAGGCCCTCATCTGTCTTGGGCAGCTCCACTACTCTGGGATGTGCATGGCCCTCACTGGCTGTGAAAGCAGCCACCGTGGCCTAGGAGAAAGTGTCCAGAAGTGAGTAACCCCTCCATGGTGGGCAAGTGTGCTAGGGTCAGGGATCTAGGCTGGGGACAGCAATTTAAGCCAGATTGTTTTCCCTGAGCATGAGGGAACCTGCCATCACTCTACACAAAATCACGAGGTGGCGACAGGATGTTCTTTTGAGTTCGGGCATGCTTCTGGCATGTCAGGGAAGTAAGTCTACAAAATACTCTGCACTGGACAATCTTGCTTTTTAACATATGAAAAGTAGGCCTGAAGGGAATGGAGAGCCTCCAGGAAGCAATGAGAAGCATCATCTACTTATAGTTTAATAAGATTTCTATGTTTTATTGACATTCCACTGTAGAGATGTTTAGGGTTATCTTCTAGGCAGCCATGTGATATTGTTTCTATTTCTAGTTGCTAGGACATTTAAATTTAAAAAATGTGCGGTTATTTAAAGGAAATTATAAATAAATAGCCATAAGGATGATGTATAGATTTGGCAAAAATCATGAAAGAGGAAATAGGAAGGACTAGCCTCAAGAAGGCACTAAGCTAGACGTGCGGGTCAGGGGATGCCAAGAGCAACCGGGCGGGGGCGCCTACCTTGGCTGTGGCATGAGCGCGTATCTCAGCACTGCCAGTGATGTCCAGCGTGTCATAGAGCTGCTCATACACCTGGGCGGGGACGCAGCAGCGTCAGGGAGCCACCAGCCCCCTCCTCACTTAGAGTTGTCCAGACCCCGGATCTCCCACCCAAGGATCCGCCCTGCAACCAGAGCCTGAGGAAACTACAACTCCCAAAGAACCCCGGAGCTGCAGCGCGAGCACCGCACGGCGAGTCGCCTCGGGAGCTGCCGGGAGGCGTAGTCCCTAGGCTCGCGACGGGAGGAGGATGACGGCGGCCGCAAGCTGTGTCCTACCCTGGCGGCTCACCTCACGGATGGCGGAGCAGAAGCGGCTCTGCAGGACTCGCTGGAGGGCCTGCAGCTTCTGCGGGGGCAGCTCCCCGCTGCGCTGGAGTCGCTCGAGGAGCTCCACGGCCCGGGACACGTCTGCGGGCGGGGGCGGGGGCACAGAGACACGGAGAGTCGGACACCAAGACTCGGAGCCACCGAGAGACGCAGCGAGAGGTGGAGTAAGGGCGAGCTCAGACTGCGCGGAGAAGGGCACCAGAGCCCAGTCGGACATCCCGCAGAGTCAAGGGTGGCGAGTGAGCGACTGCGTCAGCCAGGTGCCCGGCAGGTTCCAGGACCCTCCCCCCCAACACACACAGAGCTGCGGGTGTACGGTGGCCACCCCTCACCAGCGGCTCGCCCACTGACCCTCTCACGCCCACGGACTGCCCAGCTCGTAGCGCCCCGCCCCGCCCACCCCGCCGGGTCCGCCCGCCCATTGAGAGGGCCTGGCCGGGGCGGGCGGGGCCAAGATCAGGGGCGCAGACGGCGGTCGGGTGGGCAGGGCCCCCTGGCGCGCTTACCCCGCTCCAGCCCCAGCGGCTCCACCAGCGCAGCCATGTCGGCGCCACAGACGCCAGCCGCCGGCCTGCCCCGTCGCCGGCGAGGAGGCGGGGCTCCGTGGGGCCACGCCCCGGGCGACGGGCGCCCCCTGCGGAGACGCCTCCCGCGTGCGCTGGGCTCTTGGCGCTGAGACGTTGGACCGCCGCGGGGTTGGTCTGTTCTTTTTCTGATCCCTCCTATTGCAGCTTCGGTCCGCCTGCTGAATCGTCTGCATCTCCTGAGTCCTGCCCACCACACCTTTCTATCCCCTCCTTATCCTTTCCCCATATTCTCACCCTAAACAAATGCGTGTTCAGCATCTTCTGGACCCACGGTACAGACATGATAGTGAACGGGACCGACAAGCCCATTGTTATAACTGGGTGCCCATTCTGTAGGGTGGTCGACAACTTATGTCTGTGACTGAGTTGAGAGTGGGAGTTGATCATCTAAGAGAGAAAAGAAATCCTCAAGGATGTACCTTGACAAGCAGTCCTAGGACTTTGTGTCAACAAGCTCAACAAGAGGTGACGCTAGGGCCCACGTGGCTGCAGAACTGGTGGTGAAAGAGCTGGCAGGGTAGTTTATGGACATTGCATATAGAGGATTTGGGACTTCATGCAAACTTCTAAGAGTAAAATGGGATACTCGATTTTGTATTTTAAGGTCCAGACCACGGAGAATGGTCTGGATGGGAGGTCAGAGGTGTCTTGGCAAGCTGCACAGTGGTTAGCACCTGATGAAAGCATGGAAGTGGAGACCTAGAAGATGTCCACACCAGCCTCGGGGCCGAATTCCATGTGGGGATCTGGAGGTGTAGGAAAAGGGAGTGTTAAGGTGCTTTGGTGCCATTTGCCTGGAGGAGGAACAGTAAATATTTTGAATTTGCAGAACTGTGGTGTCCAAGAGAATCACAGATATCCAGAACTAGAGCTCAGAAGAAGTGTCTGGCCTGCAGGTGGTTTTGGGGGTTTGGACACAGGTGGTAAATAAAACTAGAGGAATGGACAAGAATGCCAGGCGCAAGAGAATACACAATAAAAATGACCTACGATTATTCCTCCAGATTCTCAATATGTAAAGTCAGCACAGCAAAGGATGGTGGAGAAGGTAGGAGGAAACCCAGCTGAGAGGAACCATGAGAAGTGTTTTTTTTAAAAAAAAGAGGAGTCGTGGGGTGTGGTGGCAAACATCTGTAATCCCAGCAGCTCAGGAGGCTGAGACAGGAGGATCAAAAGTTTGAGGTCAACCTCTGCAATTTAGTGAGTCTCTAATAAGCAATTTAACAATATCCCGTCTCAAAAAATAAAAAAGGGCTGGAGATGTGGCTCAGTGGTAAAGCACCCTGGGTTCAATCCCCAGTACCAAAAAGAAAAAAATAAGAGGAGTGGTCAGTTGTATTACATATTGCTCCAGAGAGGATGAGGTAGGAATGAGGAGTGGTCAGTTGTATTACATATTACATGCTCTAGAAAGGATGAGATAGGAAATGTGGACAAGACTTGTGAAAAATCTGACTGTTGTACTAGTCCCTTGGTTTATTTATTTATTTATTTATTTTAGAGAGAGGAAGAGAGAATTTTAATATTTATTTTTTAGTTTTCAGTGGACACAACATCTTTTGTTTGTATGTGGTGCTGAGGATGGAACCCGGGCCACAGGCATGCCAGGCGAGCGCGCTACGGCTTGAGCCACATCCCCACCCCAGTCCCCTGGTTTAGTTGCCCTAGGATATGGGGCCCAGAAAAGGGCTTTTTCATATTGGCAGGACAAGAGCAGTCTTGGCCAGCTAGCTCTCCTTAGTAGTGCCTCATTTGTTAACAAAAAATAATGTATTTATGGGGCTAAAAACCAAGTTTAAAACAGAGAAAGGATGATAATGAAAGGCACCAGCCCCTGCACACCTCATAACTCTACCCCTTTCCAAAAGTAACAACTTACAAGTGTATCCAAATACATGATACTTCTTGATTTATAGATAGATGTTGGTAACTCATTTACCTAGTTTTTCTGTTCTCATCACCTTTCTCATCTCTTCCTATGAAGTTTTTATGGTGACAGGTTTTTTTTTTTAAATGCTGGGGACTGAACCTGGGGCACTGTGCATGTGAGGCAAGCACTCTACCAACTGAGCTATATCCCCAGCCCCTGGGGTTGTGGCTCAGGGGTAGGCAGTGCTTGCCTACTATGTGTGAAGTACCTTAATTGAAACCAGGGGCACTTGACCCTTTAAATTTTTCATTTTTTGAGATAGGGTCTTGCTAAGATGCTTAGGTGAGGTTGGTCTATCTTCCCTATGATTTCTAGTGTTTATACCAATAAGATTTCAGGTTAACTAGTCTCTAAATCAACAAAGCCCATCTATTGAATTCTGATTGTTCTATTTTAGAATTTCATCTAACTTCGAGATCCCTGATCTTTTCCTTATTTTGTGAAAATACTGTTTGTTTTGGTTCAAACATTTGAATCACCCTGGGTGTTTTTTCCCCTCCTGGTTTCTTGAAACTTAAGTATGCTAGCAATTTTTGAGTGGATGCTGATCATTGTAACTACAAATAATAGTACATTAGGTGCTGTCTTCCTCCAAAGAGGAAAGCAGGTCAACTCCCTAAATCCTGTCTCATTATATGCATTCTTTCAGTTGTGGTCTTTTTAATATTGTGGCACTCTGAACATCTCAAGCAGGACCACTCTCTGGGCAGGGGTGGGATGGGACACTTATATCCCAGTCTGACTCCCCAGAACGGCATGGCTGCTGAAGTTTCTTTAGCCTTCCAGTTACACTGCACTTTGATGACGTTCCAAGGTTCTTGCAATGGCTATGAGTGGCTGGAGTTGAAATGCCTCAAGGGTAAGCTGTATGAGCTCAATGCCTCCATCTGGGAATTTTGCCTTGAGCTTATGGACTGCCTAGTTGAATCTCTGGAATTTAGCACCTGGAAGACTGCTGCTTTCTGATTATCTAATCCCCAATTCTAAATTGCTGAACACCCTCAAGCAAGATGCAAAGGTTAATGGGAAGCACATCACTGTGCTTTTTCTCCTAAGAGAGTACTCTCAAGTCTGCTCTACATGGGTTGTGTTCCAATGCCTTTCACATCTTGATTTATCCGGGCAAATCATCTGTGCAACATTAGTCCCAAACGAACTATTCTTTACTAGAAGTCTACCTGCACCATGTGGGACATCTACAAGAACACACCAATAAAAGGTTGTGTGTGCACACCCACACACTTCTGAGGTTGAACCCAGAGCCTTGCTTGCACATGATAGGCAAGTGCTCTACCACTGAGCTGCATCCCTTGCCTTTGTGTATGAGGTGGTAGTGGTGGTGCTGGGGACTGAACCCAGGGCCTTTGTGCATGCACAGCAAGCACTCTTATCAACTTAGCTATGTCCCCAGCACCCCTTGCCTTTTTGAAATAGTCTAGCTAAGTTGCCCAGGTTGGCCCCAAACTTGTGATTCTCTTGCCTCAATCTCCTGAGTAGATGGCATGACCATGATGGTATGGTCACCACACCTAGTCCAATAAGAGGTATTGAGTTCTTCTGAAATCATTTCTTCCAGTTTTTCTCTCATGTCCTTTTGATGCAATTATTTCTCAAATGCTGGGTAACTTTGTATGCTTAAAGACCAAGCACCTTAAAAAAGCAGTAGTCTTGGGCTGGGGTTGTGGCTCAGCGGTAGATAGCTCGCCTAGCAAGTTCGAGGCCCTGGGTTCGATCATCAGCACCACATAAAAATAAAGATATTGTGTCCATCTACAACTAAAAAATATTTTTAAAAAAGCAGTAGTATTATGTGTAAGAAGCTGATGTGCTATACACAGACTGTTCCTCCACTCTTACCCTTGTTCTCCCAGAATTGCAGCCTTCGACTTGTCTGGGATTCTGCAAGGAAATGAAGTCTTCTCAGCACTCTCAATTTCATCCAGAAACTTTTGCAGAAAATCTCAATTGCTGATGAAACGTCTTGTTTTTACTTGGCAATCCTCATTACTATGTAGTACAAATGCTCATCCTGAACTCTACCTTCTCCACTCTGGCTCTGGCCCAGTCTTTCTGCTCTCCCATGTCTTATCCACTTTCCTTGCAGTCATTTTCCATTTCTTTGTCCCCTTTCCTTTTCTCAGATCCAGACAACTTACCTTCCAGCTTCAGTGGGACAAGGTACACACCTATAATCCCAGCTACTTGAGAGGATTAGGCAGGAGGATCACAAGCACAAGGCCGCCTTGACAGCTTAGTGAGACCATGTCTTAAATTTTTAAGAAGTTTAAAAGGCTGGGGATGTACCTCAGTGGTGGGGCAACTCTGGGTTTAACACCCAGGACATGGGGTGGTAGGGTGGTGGACTGCAGCTCCTTCTGAATAACCTAGTCTCCTCCTATAACTCACCCAAAACAGAGATAGAACCACTCCAGAGGAACATATGTGCTTAGAATTGGTGGAGTGGGGGAACCCTGGTGTCCTGGGGATAGTCTCAGCTTCAGGTCACAAAGCCCTGGAAACTAGAACCAAAGTGTAGCCAGCTGACAACCTTCCAGGAAGACATTAAGGTCAGTTAGGAAGAAACCAAGGTGCCCACCATCAACAGGAAATTTTATTTTTAAACCCAAGGGGCCAGAACAAATAAAGAAATTCCTACCCCTGGAGGACAAACAGGTGACCAAGATTAAGGGAGAGAATGACAGTAGGGGCCAGGTAGGAACATGTCCAAACTTCACTCAGGTGCTGCTTCCATCAAATACCCGTTCTCTGGAGCAAGGTACCCGTCCCCACCCTCAGACTCCATGTACATGTCTCGACTGTCATTGCCCAGACCCTCCAGCCCGTTGTCCTGGCCGCCACCCCCTCCTCCTCGAGCCTCATCCCTGCCCCTCTCACCACCCCGCTCCCCCCGCTTGTGATCGCGGTCCCGGTCCCGGTCCCGGTCCCTGCGCCGCTCCCGCTCACTACGGTGGCTCCGACGTCGTTCCCGGTCACGATCACGGCCTTTCTCCTCTGGGCCATCAGGGCCATCAGGACCAAGCTCTCCAGGAGGCCCATCGTCAGGAGGTGCATCACCAGCCTCAGAAGGCTCTGCCATATCACCGCCGCCGCCTCCACCACCACCGCCACCTCCACCGCTGCCGCCACCACCGCCGCCACCGCCGCCACCACCACCACCACCTCCACCACGCAGCTCCTCCTTGCGCTCGCGCTCCCGGCGTGCCCGCTCCCGGCTCCGGCTGCTACGCCGTTTTCGATCCCGGTCCTTGTCCTTGCTCCGCTCCCTGGAGCGCCGCCGCTCATCTTTGTCTCGGCTCCGCGAACGCCTCCGCCGGTCCCGAGAGCGGGAGCGTCGCCGTTCCCGTTCCTTGTCTCGCTCCCGGCTCCGCTCTCTTCGCTCCCGCTCACGGTCCCGGTCTCGGTCCCTGTGGGGAAGCGGGGAGGGGCCGGGCCTGGATGAGGTGGGCAGCGGTGTGTGGCAGGGCTCCCCAGGTGACCGACCCCCATCCCAGGAAACCAGTCCCCCAATCTTACCTCTCATCATAGCGGGATGTGTCGTCACGGCCTGAATGCCGGATATTCACGTCAGCCCCACCTCTTCGGGTGCCACCCAGGCCACCTCCTGAAGGAAGGGCAGAGAACACAGGGTCACTCCGGGCAGGCAAGACAAAAATGGAAAAGAAGAGCCTCGAAGAGCACAGGACAGGAAACTAAGAACCTAGGTCGGTGGCCTTAGGACCAAGGCCAACACTGCTCCTCTCCATGTACTCTTGCAAAAGGACAGCCACGTTTTACTTCCACAAAGTGCTAAGTGGAACCCCCAAGGGTGTTGCTCAGTGGTACAGTACTTGCCTAGCATGTATGAGGCCCTGAATTCCAGCCCAAGAAGCCCTCACACAAAAAAGGGGGTGGCTGTAAGAACACCCTGAACAAAAATCCGACTCCAAAGCCTCTAACCTTGCCCACTGCATACTACATGGCCTCAAGACCCCTCCTTTCAAGCCCCCCCCCCCAGACCTGATGTCAGTGGACTTTCTAGGTGAAAATGTGACCTGCTTAGAAGCCTGCACCAGCTTCCTCTGCTTCAAGTCCAAACTCATCAACCAGCTGGAACAGCCTGTGCGGGCTGCCCCTCCAGGTTCCACTAAGGATTGGGGCACTTCTGTCTAAGGAGTCTCCCTCCAGTCTCCTCGGCCTCCCCACCTCCTCTGGCCAATGTTTTCATGTACCTGCATCTCCTTCCCTGGAATGACATCACCCTCCTCTTCTAATTCCTACTGGCCCTTCAGGTCAGTTCAAACATCACTTCCTCACAGAACTTCCCAGTCCTATAGACTAAGATATTCTCCACTATGTTCTCCTGGGTCCAAACATGTCCTTCAACTAGAGTTTCAAAGTTGCTGTTTCGGTGAGGTAATAACTACCTGTATTCCATCTCGAGAGTAGGAATTGTGCCTGGCTGTGCTCAGGGACCAACACCTGGTCTAGAAGGGTGATTTGTATCTACTGAGTGGATAAATGAACAACCCTAAGGAGACTGACAGCCTCATCTTTCAGATGGAGAAACAGTGTCAGATCAAGTCACTTGCACCCAGTGAAAAGGCAAGAAAGGGGCAGGGCTGGGGTAACACTCCTGTTTTCCTGCAGAGCCTGCCTTACCAAAAACTGTTCTGTACCACCAAGCCTAGAAGATGGCTTGAGGCAGGACTGAGTTCCAAACAGAACAACTTTTAATGAAGATACTAGAAGCTGGGCATGGTGACACATGCCTATAATCCCAGTGGCTCGGGAGGCTGAGGCAGGAGGATAGAGAGTTGAAAGCCAGCCTCAGCTACAAAATTCAGTGAGACCCTGTCTCTAAATAAAATATTTTATTTTTATTTATTTATTTTTTTAAAGAGAGAGTGAGAGAGAGAAAAATTTTTTAATATTTTTTAGTTTTTGGAGGACACAACATCTTTGTATGTGGTGCTGAGAATCGAACCCGGGCCGCACACATGCCAGGCGAGCGCACTACTGCTTGAGCCACATCCCCAGCCCCTAAATAAAATATTTTTAAAAAGGCTGCACATATGCCTCAGTGGCTCAGTGCCCCCAAGTTCAATCCTTGGTACCAAAAAAAAAAAAAAAAAAAAAAGATAATAGGAAAAGGAAGAGGAGGCTGACTGGACACCAGGAGACAATTCAGAGAGGTATAACTAGGGAGCAAGCAGCTGACCAGGCTACTGGAGTGCCACAGAACACAGAGCAGCTGTACAAGTGCATTCAATTTTCAGGTCACAACCCTGCAATGAGTTACACCATCAATCTAAGAGGATACAAACATCTTAAAAAAAAAGCAACTTGAGAGGCTGAGACAGGAGGATCAAAGCCATCCTCAGCAACGTAGCAAGAATCTGTCTCAAAACAAAAAATAAAAAGGGTTAGGGATGTCACTTAGTGGTTAAGTGCCCCTGGGTTCAATACCCGACACCAAAAAAATAAATAAACTAAAAATAAAACAGTACTGGGGATGTGGCCCCGCAAAAAAAAAAAAATAAATAATAGTACTGGGGATGTGGCTCAGTAGTAGAGGGCTTGCCTAGTATGCACAAGGCCCTGGGTTCCATCCCTAGCACTGCAAAATTAATTAATTAAAAAAAAAACTGTAAACAGCAGTAACCAAACAAAAACAAGCCCCCCCCCCCAAAAAAAAAAACCCACCCCAAAACAAAACTCCCAGCAGAATCAAGTACTACTGTGCATTGCATGTAGAAAACATAATTAGTGGGGCTGGGGCAGTAGCCCGATGGCAGAGTGCTTTCCTTGTGAGGCACTGGTTCAATCCTTAGCACCTCATAAAAACAAATAAATCCATGCTGTCCATCTATAACTATCAAAAAAAAAAAGTGAAAAGGGGGGTGCAAATCAAACTTCTTAAAAAAAGAAAACGTAATTACTATATAAAACTTTTCTTTGGGTTGTATTTCTACATATATTTGAACCAAGATGCATGGCTAATGCCATCAGGAAGTTTGAAAGCCAAATGAACTGGAAGATTCTGAGATTTTGGAAACATTTTCAGATTCTAAGACTCTCCCACAATAGGAAGTAGAGCCTTAAGCATCCACTCCCCTGAAAACTGAAGAGTAAGGTGAGGGGGCTGGGGCTGTAGCCAGTGGCAGAGCACCTGCTTAGCATGTGTGAGGCACTGGGTTTGATCTTGAGCGCCACATAAAAATAAACAAATAAAACAAAGGCAATCTGTCCATCTACAACTATAAAAAAATGGCTATGAAGGTCAGAGGCTCAGCTAACAAGTGTGTAGCCTACTTGGCACAGGTGCATCAAGTGACAACAGAGCTGAAGAAACGAATGGTGGCACTAACACTGCCTGGGACAGCTGCACAAAATACCTTCTCTAACAACTGCACCAAACAGGCTGTCATGACAGGATCTCCACCCCAGGCGGAGGCCCACCCCACAAAGAACAGAGAACAAAGACTGGTCCAGAACTGGTATCAAGCAGGGAACTGGAACATGCGTGCTACGCCGGGACAGGGCACAGACACACAGAGGAGATCAGTATGCACAAGTAACAAGCACACCAGAGGAAACTGTAAGGTGTCAGGGCTGCGCTGCCTCAGTCCCTGATGTCTGAAGGTCTAGTTCCCAGGTCCTCTGGAGGTCCATTGGCACTGCAGGACTCGAGATTCCAATAGACACCTACAATCCTGCACTAAGAGGGCCCTTTATGTATTAGGAAGCTCAACTGTACTTCTAAAGCTTACCCACCAAACTGACCTTGACTGAGATGGTGAATGACAATGGGGGAGGGACTGAGTGTACGAGGCTTGAGGGCAGAGACTAGATGTCCTGCTCTAGACTAGAAGCAGGTGATGAGCAAGAAATGGAGGGAGAAAAAAAAAAAAAAAAAAAAAAAAAAAAAAAAAAAAGAAATGGAGGGAGAAGTGGGCAGCTGAGCAGGTGAGTGAGCAGGAGACACAGGTTATCAAGGTAATGGGGGAGAGAAGAGTCAGGCCACTTAGCACAGGGCCAGAATATGCTCACCTAGCCGCCGGGGCCTCCAGCCCTTCACAGTTCGGCCCCTCTCCACATCCACAAGGACTCTCCTGCCATCAATCTTCTTGCCATCTGCGTGTTTGTAAGCGGCTGCAACAGATGTGGGAAGGGGGGAGGGGAGAGGAGTCCCCAGAGGGTCCTCTAGTCAGGACAGGGCCTAGCGCTGGAGCATCCCCACCCTCAGAAACCCCCATCACCTCTCTCTCTCTCTCACACACACACACACACACACACACAGAGACACAAACACTCACACTCACACAAACACACACACACACACACACAGCAGCCAGCCAGGCAACTGACAGCCAGACCAACTCTCTCCCGACCCGGTGAGGGGCCTGCTCCATCTCAACGCCTGCTTTCTTCTTACTAGCCCCCCATTGCTACATGCAGTGCATGTCCTTCCCCAACTGCCATCTCCCTGGACTCCCAGTCCCTTCCCAATCCCACATGATGGAACAGCCCCCTCTTGCCAGGATGGCCAAAGTCGCTGCAAAGAAACTGGAGGTTAACTTAATGCTGGACTCTGCTGTGGGGGAGGGGCTCCTCCACAACCCCAGGCATGCACCCTAGAACATCATGCTGGGGCAGGAGGCCCGACTGGGCAACTCCATACCCCAGTTCACACCGTTTTTTCTGTAATGCTTTTTTTGGGGTGAGGAGGTGAGTGTGGGGAAACAGACATCAGAACAGAAAATGAACCAGAAGGGGGTGGGAGAAATCTTCAGGAAATGGCAGGGAGCAGAAAGGCGGGTTATGCACTCCCAGGGGGCCTAGAGGGGCCCCCCCAGCAAGGGGACATGGAGGGAGGCATGGGAGACGTGCGGTGCTACTGAAAATTCCTGCCTTACCTGAGATGACTGACCCTGCCACCACCCAGTCCGACCCCATCTCTCCCCTCCACACCCTTGCTCAACACGTGCTGGGAATCCAGCCCAAGTCTGAGCCTATCAGGGAAGGGTGAGGAGTAGAGGAGAGGAGACAAGGCCCATCACGGCTCTGGGCAGGGCAAGCACAGGGCAGCAGGCCCAATGCCCAGGTCTGTCATCACATGGGGCTACTGGGAAGGCCAAAAAGACCCTGTCCCCCTCCCTAGCCCTGACCTAGGGGAACTATCCTCAATCAACCACAATACCCTGCCCCGCCCCAGCCCGCTCCCCCCCAAATAACAACCAGAGGAAGAGAAAAATGTGCCATTTACCGATGCCGGCCTTGCGGGTGTCCAAACCGAGCGGGATGGGGGGGGCTCGGCAACTCCTGGGGGCCTGGCGAGGAGGCGGGCTTCCCGGGGGGGGGACACGGGACCGCTTACCTGGAGCCCCCAAGCTTACCTGAGCACGCGCACAGACCCCACACCCACCACCATGGGGTCAGCTAAAGCTACAGGGAGGAAAACTGAGGGTTCTCAGGAGCCCCCAGTGGGAGAAACCACATCTCCTGCACCACCTGGAGACAGGCCGAGGACGAAAGTGGTGGACCCCACAGAAACCTCATGGACAGATAATTAACTTAAAATCTGGGGAATGGAAAGCCCTGGGCCTATTCTCCTTGAATTAAAAAAGAGAAGGCTGGGAGGCCTTAGAATACTTGTCACCCTCACCAATTCCCAAAACAGTCAAACTCAACTCGACACAGGCTCTCCCTTCTCAGAACAGGGAATGACTCTTCCACCTCCAACTCCACATGCCCTCCCACCAGCAGCTGCAGCTCCAAGGCTGCCTGGTGCTCAGGGGACATACTTTGGGGTCCAGGAGATGGAGTGCTACCCGTGCTCCAAGGAGGGGCCGCTTGGCCCCTGAACCCAGAGAAGGGTAGTGGGGAAGAGAACTAAAGGACCAAGTTCATAGTCAAGCAAAGGAATCCTGCTTGGGCTCAGCATCCCAAACCCCAAGAGAGGCCCAACCCAGGAGAACAGCAAAGAAAACATGTGATTGTGTCCATCTAGGCTTCTCTCTCTTTCCCTCTCTTATGTCTCCAGACAGTGGCAGGTCTTGAGTAAAATCCTACCATACCTTCAGCCTTCGCAGCCTGCTTCTTGATCCCTCCCACACCCCAAGCCCCAATTCCATGCACTTCGGGGAGTGCCTGACCATCCCTGGAGGGGAGCTGGGCACCACAGCCAGCACTCTAGGGAGGCCTCAACCACGTTAAGGAAGACAGGAAGGGGACAGAGCACCTAAAACTAGCAGCCAAAAACTCTCCAGGGCCACCACAGTGAGTGCCCCACAGAAGTGATGGTGGGGGATAGAGAGAGAAGGGCTGAAGGGTTCCTTGTGGAGCCCGGCCCCACCACACCCCAGCTTCAGTATATTCCCGCCACCTTTCGCTCATGTTGTGAAGCCAGGTAAGTCAGGGGGTTGGGTGGAGCCCGACTGGAAAGGCCAGTTGCTTTTCCCATCAAGATCCACCCTTCCCCTCCTGGGATCAGCAAGATAATCAGAGAGCATATGGATGGGGGCCAGGAGGGGCAAAGGGCACCCAAGTAAGGAAAGGGCTGGGTGCAGGGAGGCTGAGGGGGCGACCGGGGCGGGAAGAGGGATGCCTCGCTGCTCCTGTGCTGCCTGGCTAAGCTGGACTGGTGTGCGGTGCTGAGTGATCTTACCCATGATACAAACCCTTATACCAACCATACACTGAGGTGTTGTAAGGGGAGCGTAAGCATCAGCTGCAAGCCAGCTGCGTGGTGGCTGCAGTGACAATAAGAACAGTCAATTAATACGGCGGCCCCTGGACACGCCGCAGCCCTGCCCGCCCCCACCCACCCATCCCTGCCCATGTGGACGCCGCGCAGCCTCAAGGGGGCTTGAGCTGTGGGGGCAGACGCTGAACACGACCACCAGCCCACTGCCCACTGAGGAACAGGACTGGGGGCAGGGGTGGGGAGGTGGAGGGTCGGGTGGCCCAGCCCCAGCTCTGCTGGGGGAAGAGAGGGCAGGTTCAAAGGCCAGTCCTCACTTCAACCTGGTCATCCCCAACTCCAGTGGGGGAATAATGGGGAGATGCTCCCCGAAAATCCGACCCCTCCCCCCACCTCCAGCTGGCCCCAGCCCCCACCCAGTTCCCTCCTTGCCCCTAAGGTTCAACGTGTGACACTTACCTCCCCGAGCTCACACACACACGTTGTGGGGGATTTGGTTTTTGTTTTTTAAAAAACACGTATATATATATATAAAAAAAAAAAAAGATATATCAGAAACAGAGGGAGGAGGAGAAAAGACATTGCTAATGTCAGGTGTGGCAGGGAAAGGGGGTCAGACAACAGGGAAGGGACTGGGGCAGCAGAGAAGTGAGAGAGGGTCAGAGGGAAGGGCTGAAGTGGGAGGTACTCACAATGCATGTCTCGCTCATGCTCATACTCAATGAAGGCATAGCCTCTGGGCTTTCCTGACCGCTTACTGTAGACCATGTGTATCTGCAAGGCAGATAAGATGTAGGTTAGTCCTGCCTCACAACAGCCTGCCCATCATATAACTCTATGCCCAAGCTGAAGGATGCCAGAGACAGATCCTCAGATTTTCTGTCCTTCGGCTTTTTTTTTTTTTTTTTTTTTTGAGTGGGGGATAGTGAGTGTCCTAGGGATTGGACCCAGGGGCATTTTACCACTGAGCTATGTGCCCAAGCCTTTTTATTTTGAGACAGAGTCTTGCTAAGTAGCTAAGGCTCGCCTCAAACTTGCGATCCTCCTGCCACAGCCTCCCAAACTGCTGGGATTACAGGCTTGTGCCACTACATATGGCTCTCTGTCCTTCAAGATCCTCCAGTGACTTCAGTGACTTATGCTCTAAAGATGAAAACAAAGGTCACAACAGACACCTGAGTGACACAGATGCAGTTTCCTGGAGAAAGAACACTTAAGCCAAAACCTAGACAATGAAAAGGGATCAAGAGTGGGGAGTTGGCTTATAAAGAAGAGTAGCAGTAACTCCAAAGAGCAATAGCTTGGGAGGGGACTGGGGATGCAGTAAAATGAGGATGAATGGAACATTCTTTTTTTTTTTTTTTTTGGTGGTGGTACTGGGCCTTAAACTCAGGGGGACTCTACCAATGAGCCACACCTCTAGTCTATTTAGTTTTTGAGGCATTCTTGCTAAGTTGCTGAAGGTGGTGTTAAACTGAAAATTCTCCTGCCTCAGCCTCTCAGCAGCTGGGATTACAGGCAAATACCACCACACCTGGCTCATTTTAACTACCCTTTCTTAAATTTTATTTTAGTTGTTGATGGTCCTTTATTTTGTTTGTTTATTTATATGTGGTGCTGGGAATTGAACACAGTGCCTCAAGTGTACAAGGCAAGCACTCTACTGCTGAGCTACAACTCCAGCCCCTCATTTCAACTACTTTTTCAGTGGCATTCAGTATATTAACAAAGTTGTGCAAGCATCATGGCTGTTTCCAGAATTTTTTCCAATAGAAACCCTGTCCCCAGAGTAACTGGGATTACAGGTGTGCACCACAGTCCCCAAAGAGAATGGCACTTATTTTGATAATAAGGATCCTCAGGAGATTAGGCCGCAAAGGTAGAAAGGCACCAGGGCCAAGTACCCCCAATGCCAGGCTAAGAAGGAGGCTAAAGCAGAGGGCTACAAGTATGAGAAGAGCCTGAGCAACTTACCAATCCCTGTCTCAAAATAAAAAGGGTTTGGGATATAGACTGTCCATGTAGAGTTGGAAAAACAGAGGAATTCTGAATGCCAAGAGAAAAGGAGAGTTCTAGGGTTAAGAGAAGGGCATAGAGAGGGCAGGGCATCACGCTTAGTGGTAGAGTGCTTGCCTAGCATGTATGAGGCCCTGGACTCCATCCCCAGCATCTCTTAAGACATGAGGTAGGAAGAAAAGAGCAAATGCAGTCATAAAACTCAATATGTACAAAGTCAGGGAGAACTGAGAGTGTGAAGCATTCCAAGAAGAACCCTATGTCGGAGATGGAAAGAGGATAGAGATACATAAGCCATAGTGCAGGACCACAGAGTAATTGCCCTGAGAGGCCAGGCTCTAGATTCCAGATCTCTGTCCCAATATGCTAGGGAGGTATACGAGATTGTGAGCAGAGAAGATGGGGTCATCTCTGAACATTAGAAAGATCCCTTTAGGACTACATAGGGGATGAATTAAATAGAGAATAACAGCCCAACAGGAATGACTTCTAGGAAACAGCACTTGAGCTGGTCACCAAAGATGGCTAGTTCTTCACTTATATCACTACCTCTCAGTGACCTGCCCCCATTACAAATGAATACAGTTCCAGTCCTAGGATTTGAACCTTAGGACAGCAGATTCCAAAATCCAACCAAGTCAGGCACAGTGGTGCACACATATAATCCTAGCAACTTTGGAGGCGGTGGCAGGAGGAATGCAATAAATGAAGCCAGCCTCAGAAACTTAGCAAGGCCCTGTCTCAAAACAAAAGGGCTGTGGAGGTAGCTCAGTAGTAAAGAGCTCCTGGGTTCAATCCCTTGTACCAAAAAAGAAGAGATAAGATTATAAAATGACTCAGGGTTGAGTGTCTTTCTGGCTACTGCCCTCTCCTCCATGTATCCCCAATTCAAATACACCAACCCCAACCACTCACTCTTTTGATGGGTCCATACACCTCAAACTCTCTCCGAAGCTTGGATTCTGTTGTGTCATAGTTCTACAAATACAGAAAGATGAAGTTAAATGAAACAGGGGCTGTCAAAAAGACCTTGAACAGTCCTAAGGACTAGTCTTCTGTCCTCTGTCCAGACCCAGGGTCTCAGCAGCTTCGGGTTCCGAGGTTTTGGAGCTGCAGACTCACCACTCTAGCCACGAAGAGAGTCTTGAAGGCATCACCCTGAGCATTGGGATCATTGTGAGGGTCCCCTGTGCACAAAGGAGAGAAACTATAAGTAGCAGGTAGCTACAATCTCAGGTAACAAGACAAATACAGATAAACAGGCAGAGGCCAAGGAGGCAAAGATAAAACTGGGGGGAAAAGAAGATGAAACTGGGGAAGCTCCCAACTAGTAGAAAACAGTTGGTGACTTGGCAACTTTGGGAACAGCCTTCTCTTGAGGGCTGGTTTTCCTGAAGCACAGTGGCCTTTACCAGAGTGACTGATAAAACGATTTAGGCTGACAGGGAATACTGACTTTAAGCAGATAAGGTGTAGCATGCTTAAGTGCCATTTCAGACCTACATACCCTAAGGACCTCATCCCTTCCAGATGCAAGGTGATCTGAGCAATTACTAAGCCCAGTAAGGCCTCTCTGGAGATGGCGCCTGATCTCAAGGGCTGAACTTGCTCCTTCCCTCCCTTATCCATGGCTGCAGTGCCATCTACTGGACAAAGACTAAAACTACAGTCCACAGGAAAATGCGAAAGCAAAGATCCCAAGGCTCAGAATAAGAGCCTATACCTGGAGCAAATGTGAAAGGTCCCTGACATCGGTCAGATTCCTACTCCAGCCTTGCAAAACACGTAATTCTCATACCTAGCCACTGAGGAATAACACTCTCCAAAGAGATGAACTAGGAATCTTATTAAAAAGCTGATTCCAGGGCTGGGGTTGTGGCTCAGAGGTATAGCACTTGCCTAGCACACGTGACACCCTGGGTTCAATCCTCAGCACCACATTAAAAAACATAAATGAATAAAATAAAGGTAAAGGGGGATATGGTTTAGCACCTCTGGGTTCAATACCCAGTACCAAAAACAATAAATAAGTAAATAATATGTGTGTGTGTGTATACACACACGCATACACACATATATATCCATCCATGTACGATTCTGCTAGGTTAGGCCTAGAAATAAGTCATTTTCATCAAATATGGTGGACCCAGCACACACAATAGTCCCTGACCCCTGCCAAGATCCCAAAGCACTCCACTCATCATTGCACAATAGAGGCATTTCTTTCATGGTTTAGAATTACCCTCTGAGGGCCTGTGATGTTCTGGGATAATATTAGACAAGGAATATTAAAAATCTATTGAGCACATACTATGGCCCAGTGCTGAATTCTGAGATTTTACTGTTTTTGCCAATGGAAGCAAAATAAAACACACACATGGAAAAAGGGAAGTGTCAAAAACACAAGGGTGTGCAAAAGGTTTTATATCCCAGCCTGATTTCATAGTCCAGGCATTCTAACTACCAGACCCACAATCTGAACGCTGGGATGCTAGTTTCTTGGAAGATAATTTAGATGTTGCCAATAAGCCAGAGAAATAAAAGTCTCAGGGGGCTGGGGCTGGGCTCAGCAGTAGCGTGCTCGCCTGGCATATACAAGGTGCTGGGTTCGACCCTCAGCACCACATAAAAGTAAATAAATAATGAATGATATTATGTCTAACTACTACATATATGCATATAAAAGTCTCAAGTATGTTTCCCATAAGATGGTTCGACTACAAGTATAAACTAAGGAATTTCTTAAAAGCCAGCAGCGTTGGAGGCTGGGGTTGTGGCTCAGTGGTACAGCACTTGCCTGGCATGTGTGAAGCCCTGGGTTTGATCCTCAGCACCGCATATAAATAAATAAGTAAATAAATAAATAAAATAAAAAATCCATTTACAGGGCTGGGGTTATGGCTCAGTGGCAGAGTGCTTGCCTAGCATGTGTGAGGCACTGGGTTCGATTCTCAACACCACATATAAATCAACGAATAAAATAAAGGTCCATCAACATTTACAAAAAAAAAAAAAAAAAGTAGTCTTTTTTTTTAGTTAGAGGTGAATACAACATCTTTATTTTATTTTTATGAGGTGCTGAGGATCAAACCCAGGGCCTCACATATGCTAGGTAAGCACTCTACCTCTGAGCCACAACCACAGCCCCAAAGGTCCATCAACATCTAAATAAATAAATAAAAATTAAAAAGAGGGTAAGGAAGGAGTCTTCCCTTTAGAGAGAGAGAGAGAGATATCCATTTACAACCAAAAAAGAAAGCCAGCAGCGTGAGCCCAAAATTACAGAAGTAACTATGTGGGGACCAATGGAAACTCACAAAGACGACTCTAACTTTGTGTGTATCCCCTGACCCTAGCAAGTTTTTTGCCATATCCAATCCCTCTGTGTTGTACTTTTCTGTGCCCAGGTCTCTTGAACTGTCCTGGCTATCTCACTCATTCAATAGGCAATTATTAAGCACTTAATATGTTTAGGGATTTAGCAGTAAATAAGACAAAAATGACCCCCAACCTCAGGGAACTTGTGTGCTAACAGAGAGTAAACAAGGTAAATGTGAGGATCACATAATCTTATCAGATAAGGACAGAGATGGGGAGAAGAATAGATTTTGAGTGCAAACTTAGGAAAGGCCTAAGGAGGAGACAGTGACATGTGACAGAAAACCTGAAGGTGTCATGGCTGCAATAGGGAATGTACCTCTAGACATTAGGCAGTCATGGTGCTAATAGATACCACTGAGTGATTGCTGGGGGTGGCAGTGGGCAGAGGAAGTCAAGGAAGAGCTGAGCATCCTGCAGGGCAGCTAGGAAGTGCCCAGCAGACTAAAGGGGAAAACAACTCAACACACTGCATGAACTGCCTACAGTTCTTGCTTATCCCAAGGGACCCAGGAGTGTAACTAAAGGTAAAAGCACATGCCACCAACTCAACTGTATCCAAGTATCTGAAGAAGGAACACATTACTTGAATAAAGGTGGCAAAGAACTATGATCAGTGATCCACCAGTCTGTGTCCATGTGTATACACACAGTTGCACCCCATCCTGACAGCTAGACTACCCTTATGAACTTCTTGTTAAAAGGCTTATAACTCTCTTTTATAAGGCATTCTGTCTCAACAAATCTTCATTTTTCATCTTAAAAATGGAAGTGACACCCAGGCACCATGGCACACACTTGTAAGCCCAGAGGCCTGGGAAGCCGAGGCAGGAAGATCGAAAGTTTGAGTCCAGCCTTCACAATCTAGTGAGGCTCTAAGCAACTTACCAAGACCCCTGTCTCAAAGTAAAAATAAAAAAATTATAAATGAGGCCAGCCTGAACTACCCTATGAGACCTTGTCTCAAAATTTTCAAAAAGGGGGGAGGGCCCTAGAAATTATATCAGAGGCAGAAAGTTTTTGTGTTCAAAAAGAGTGGGGGTTGGGGGTGGTCGCCAAGATGACACTGAATGGAAGATGTTAATTTTGACTTTTTTCCAAGCTTTTACAGCTAGGGAAAGAATCTCTTAGGGGCACGGAAATACTACAGTATTTGAACCATTCTCCCCCCGCCCTTATGGAGAAATTCAAACACTGGGAAGTAAAGAAATGTATAATGAACTCCTATGAACCAGTTTCAGTTATCAACATGTGCCCATACTTGATTCATCTCTTATGTTCCACATTGTGGCCTCTAATAAAGACTTCTAAAAAAACATAACCCCAGTACCATTACTACATCCTAAAAAATTAACACCACGGGGGTTCAGTGGCACACACCTATAATCCCAGTAGCTCGGAAGTCAGGGGATCACAAATTAGAGGCCAGCCTCAGCAACTTAGCAAGATCCTGTTTCTAAATAAAAAATAAAAAGGGCTGGGGATATAGTTCAGTGGTTAAGTGTTCCTGGATGCAATCCCCATTACCAAATAATTGATGATGATGATGATGATGATGATGATGATGATGATAATGATAATTCTTCCTTAACCTCATCTAACACCTATGGCTCAAATTTCAAAAAATTTTTAACTGGAACTATTTCAAAAGTACATTTTAAGAGCAACTCCTACCAAGTCCTCTCTCACCCTCCAAGAGTTGTCTCTTTTCTTCTCACTTCAATAAATCCCACTCTTTAAAAAAAATAGTTACCTCATTTAAATTGGGATTCAAACAAGCTCCAAATATCATTTGGTTGCACAACTTCTGACTTTTTAATCCATATGGTCCCCTCCTTGACCCACCTTTTCCTTATTTACGAAACAGCCTCAACTCTGTCCTGTATGATATCCCACATTCTCAATCTGGCACAAAGCAAGTTATGGGTGGGCAGGGAAGGAACTGTCTTATGTGGAGGGCAAAAGGAAGCAGTTAGTAAAAAGAGCAACACTATACTTCAGAAAGCCCAGAAGTGGACTCAGGCGGGGGAAGAGATCAAGGCAAACCAAATAGTCTGTGTTGTCAAAGCAGGAGAGCCCTGGGTGGTTGGTGGTGGTGTTCGTCATGGAGAAAAGGGCCAGATGTGTGACATTTAGAAAGTTAACAGGAATTGGCTTTGGTGATACGATGGGGAAGAGATTTAAAAACGTGTCCAAACCAAACCAAACCAAATTAAAAAAAAGAACAAACTGGTGGCTGCACAGAGTAGTACATGCCTGTAATTCCAGTGACTCCAGAGGTTGAGGATGGAAGATCACAAGTTTGAGGCTGGCCTCCACAACCTGATGAGACCCTATCTCAAAATAATATTGAAAAGGGATAGGGATGTAGCTCAGTGGTAGAGTGCCCCTGGGTTCAATCCTCAATACCAGGGTGGGGGAAACAAACCCAAACTAGGGCTAGGGAAGTAGTTCAATGGTATAGCACTTGCCTAGAATATTCGAAGTCCTGGTTCCAGCCCCAGCACCACAAAAACCAAACTGGGTGGCAGCAAGAAAAGCTCATGACTTTACAAAGCTAAATAACCATGTCTCAGAAACTAGGGAAACTAGGTTGGTAGGGAGGGGAAATCCCTGTTGGTTTTGGACACTGACTCTTAACATGTCTTTGCTGGTTCTGAGAAAGGACATCCATACAGCCATAAAGTGCCTAGAGTTCCCAGCTGGATGGTCTCCGTCAGGCACTGGCATTCAGCACCTGAGGAAACTGGCCACTCCAAGGAATAAAGTCCAGAGGGAAGTGATTCACTAAAGCCTCACATGTCAAGAAAAACTAACATGGTCTGACCATAAAGACTTCACTCTTAACAATAAAGGGCCAGTGGAGGCTGATATTTGATTCTCTTGTAAGTTTGTTTAATGGCTTTAAGGTACCTCATCCCTACTCCAATTCCTCCTTACCTGGAAGTAATGGAACATACTCAGTCCAAGGGTCAGGGAGCTAGCGATGGAGCCAGAACCTACTCACCAATTTACACCTGTCTCAGCTTGTAAGACTCCGAGAGCTATATGATAGCCCTTCCAATGTACTCCCTGGCAGGAGGAGTCAAGGTAGCAGGTGTCTCCCTTCCTGCTAACCTTTGCCCTAGGTTCTCCTGCTTAAAAGCCTAAACCAAATGCAGTGCTTGGCAAATGGAGAAAGTGAGCAAAATAAGTAAACCAACCCCTTTCTCTAAAATAGGCCCTTGGATGTGCCCTAGGAAGAGAAGAATTAAGGGGATTTGAGGGAGAAGAAAGGAGGAAGAAGAAGAGACTTACACATTTTTAGCTCTGTCTCCACTTCCTGCTGTCGCCGCTCAATCTTTTCCCTTCTCTGTCAGGAGAAAGGGGAGGTTGAGAAGTGAGTGCAGATAGAAGTGCCTTGATTTCAAGGACCATCTGGAGAAAGTGGCTAAAAATACATTAGGAGACAAAATTCACATACCTTCCTCTCCATGCGTTCTTCCCGGGTTTCTGCACGAGTTGGAGGAGGGGCATCTCTAGGGTCCTGGGGAAAAGAAGAGAGGTGACAAGGGAAGAAGAACTGGGGGAAATGGCAAGGGGCACTCACCAAGGCAATGTGAATCTCAGTTGCCTCCCATACACACCCTACTTTTCTACAAAACACCAATAGTCTCTGAATTACAGTGGAGTCAGGGGAGTGGCATAGCCCATGAACCCTCAAGGCCCACAAACCATTGCTGGTCTGTGACAAGTACAGAAATTGGAAGTACTTAAAAAACTTCTATAGCAGCCAGTCGCGGTATCACATGACTGTAATCTTCAGTGGCTTGGGAGGCCAAGGCAGGAGGATCACAAGTTCAATGCCATCCTTAGCAACTTAGTGAGGACCTATCTTGTAATAAGATATTTTTAAAAGGGGCTGGGGATGTGGCTCAGTGGTTAAGCACTCCTAAGCTCAATCTCTGATACAAAAAAAAACAAAACAACAACAACAAAAAAAACCTTCTGTAATCTTAACTACTCAGGAAGCTGAAGCAGCAGGATCACAAGTTAAAGGCCAGCCTGGGCAACTAAGACCCTGTCTTAAAATATAAAATTAAAAAAGGCTAGGAATGTAGCTCAGTGATAGAGCAGCCCTGGGTTCAATCTCCAGTACCATCAAAAAAAAAAAAAAAAAAAAAAAAAGTACCAAAGGTTTTTGTACCCCATATTTAGGGAACACACTGTTTCTCACAGCTCCAAGTATGATTTACAGGGAACAAAATGCCTGAGGAAGTGATGGGAACAGGGATGAGAGGTCCTTGCTTACAAGTGCCAAAGAACAGGATGAGGCCTGAAATAACAGGAGCTGAGAGAAGGAGGCTCTGAGGCAAACAACTGGACACTCTCTGAGGGACAGGGCAGGTCTTAAAGGTCTCTCTTCAGACATTCATTAAATAGTAAATGGCACATGACCTGAATTATCAAAGGATGCCTCTGGTCTGCATGTACCCATTAAATTCATTTAATTGGCTGATAACATTTCCCAAATGTGGGTTCACCAAGGGTGGTAAATCCCACTAAAGATCCACCTTTCTGTTATCTACTAAATTTTTTTTCAACTCTCTATTCACCTCAAGCTGCCTTTCCTATCCAATGCCAGAATGTTCCTCTTATGACTTCTGGCTGTGTGCCAGCATTTCTCAGGTGTGCTAATGATACGTGTGGATATCCCAATTTTTCAAATGAAAGAACTAAGATCCAGGACTTTAAATTGTTTATTCACATTTGCCTCACCAGTACAGAGTTGAAATGCCCAAGCCCAAGCCCATGGTCTTAAGCTTCCAGTACACAGGGCTTTGTAACTCTTAAGAACACTGTCTTATTAATGATAAAAATAATGACATTTAATAACTGCTTGGTGCCAAGCCCTTTTACATGAATTTTGCCATGTAATTCTCCATGGATATTATGAATATATTACTATAACCCTCTTGCTAAAAACACACCAATTTATCAAAAGGATACTCATGCCCAAGGTCACAAGGTTGACAAATGCCATGGGCCAACCACTACCTAGTGGATTTTCACAAAACACCACAAGGGATGCATTATCAACCCCATTAACGACAGAAACTGAAGATCAGAAAAAACACCTACCTAAATTCTAAATTGTACATACAACTAGATATGGCCAGAAGCTGGACTCCCCAATCTAGTCCCTTGCCCCCCAGAACCCAAACCACTCCAGTCTGCTCAGTGAACTCACCTCAAACTCTCGGATGTATGGTGCAATGCCACAGTAAGGTTGATTGTGGTGTTTTTCATGTGGTAGCTTCTCCAGGGGTGGCAGATATGGGATAGGGTCACGGGGGGCAAAGAGGGCCAGAAGGTTGGGCGGCAGGAACTGGGTCATATTGCCAAATCTGAGAGCAGAAGCAGGACAGACTTCTGTCAAGGTAGATTGGTTAGGATGGCTCCCCTATTACCCCCTGACTCTCCAAAGGAGGAAAAAAAAAAAAAAGGAAAACTGCAAGGGCAGAGAGCAATCCTACTTGGGCGAAGGGAGGTAAATCTAGATGAGAAAGCAAGTCCTTGGCGGGAGCGGGAAACAAGGCTAATAAGGGAAAGAATGGAATAAGATTCTGAAGAGTTGAGTCTCCTCAGCCAAGAGCTGCAGGACTCAGAATTCCTAGAGGCTTGTGGGGATTCAAGGATCTTGAGACAGATGCTGAGCAGTGCGGCCGGTGGTCTCCTACCTTGCATAAGAGATTTAGGGACAGAGGGCTCAGAGGGCTGGGGTCGGAAGTCTCCGACCAAGGGGAATCGTAAGGAGAAATCCCCCAAGCCGGGGGCTTGTGGGTAATAATCTGGGCTCCCAATAGCGAAAGGAATTATGGGTAAGGGTCCAGGACGCTACAGAAAGGCAAGAAAGAAAAAAGGCAACATACCGCAAGGGCCTGTGGGTAGGGGACCGCGGCGGGTGGGGGGACGGGCTTTGAGGTAAGAGGGCTCCAGTACCCAGAGAACTCTGGATAAGTGGTGCAGATAGGTGCTGAAGCGGAGACGCGGGAAAAGGGCCGGGCCGAGGGGAAGGAGACTGGGGTCCATCGCAAGGGCTTGTGGGTAGCGGCCCCGCAGTCCTAAGGCCACTCAGTCACACTCACCCGCCGCGCGGCGCCCTCCTCGACCTGGCGTTGGTCCTGGGGCTCGCGGCGGCTGCGGCAACCCCTCAGCAACAAGGACTCCTGTTCCGGCTTCGACTCCAGCGGCGTCCGCGCCAGTCTCCCTCGGTCGCCCGCCCAGCGCGCGAACCAGGCCGCTGCTTCCGAACCCGCGCGGCCTCGGCTCGCGACGGGAGCAGGGGGGTGGGTCTCGGTCTCAAATCCCTCCGCCGTCCCACTGCGCACGCGCCGTTCGAGTAGCGTGTAAACCACACACTGGGATCGGACTCTGCCGCGGACACAGCGCACGCGCAAGGTCACTACCCTGCCTTCCGGAGCATTAAAGTTACTTGCCGCGAGCTGGGCAGGGGCCGCAATGCGCACGCGCGCTCCGCACCAAGCGCGGCCGCACCTTGAGTTCTGGGCTCCAAACCGTCTGTATCCGCGAGACTCTCCCGATGCTCCGCCCCGTTCTTCTAACACTTCCCGGATCTTTTGCGCATGTGCGTTGTGTCCTGTACTGTGCTATACCCCTCCGCCGCCTGGCAAAGAGTCCCTTCATGTATATCAGGATTGCTGTGACGTCTGTTTAATTGGCAGAACTGTTCGTCTACCGCCAGGTGTGTGCTAGGTTCTGTGGGCTCTGTGGACACGCCACGTCATAAAGCAAAATCTTCCTTATTGAAGCTTACATTGTACTGGGGGAAACACTAAACGCATTTAAATTAAAAAATATAATTTCAGACAGTTGCCAGCATAACGAAGAAAAATAGTTAAGAGAATGGGTAGTGGGAGCGAGGCTATTTCAGAAAAAGGGATCAAGGAAAATTCTTCTGAAGAAGTAACAATTGAAAAAAGCCTGGATACAAGGAAAATCCGGGTGGGCTTAACAGCAAAGTGCAGATGCTCTGATTTGGGATCAGAGGGCCGTGATCATGCATTGCTGGTCATAAGAGAGCTTGCAGCCATGTGGGTCTGTAAATATTTAACTATTGTAATTTAAGTTTCTTGGATTACATTATCCCTTTAACTACAGAAATTATTGCAAAATTCAAATTACTAATTTCATGCCTTCAGAAATATGAAAGAAACCATAATATGAAAACTCATATGTGGTTGCATACCCATGTTTATTGCAGCACAATTCACAATAGCTGAACTATGGAACCAGTCTAAGTGTCCATCAATGGATAAATGTATTTTTTTAATGTGATACACACACACACACACACACACACAATGGAGTTTTATTCAGCCATAAAAAAAGTTATGAAATTAAGTCAATGCAAAAAAAAAAAAAATGGGTGGGAACATTGTGAAGCATAATAGGCCAAACTCAGAAGGTCAAGGTTGTGTGTTTTCTCTCATATGTGGAATTAGGAAAAGGATTTTACGAATATTGAAGGGCAATCAGTAGAGGAAAGGGACTGGGGGGAAGGAGGAGGGGTAGGAAAGGGGAAATACTGGGGAATGGTTTTGGCCAAACTGTGTTGTTATGTCTTGTGCACGTATGAATATATAATAATGAATCCCACCATTATGTAAAGTTATAATGCACTGATAATAAAATGTAGGAAGGGCTGTGGATGTGGCTCAAGCGGTAGCGCGCTCGCCTGGCATGTGTGCGGCCCGGGTTCGATCCTCAGCACTACAAACAAGGATGTTGTGTCCGCCTAAAACTAAAAAAATAAATAAATATTTTTTTAAAAATTCTCTCTCTCACTCTCTTAAAAAAATAAAAATAAAAAAAGTGGGAAAAATTAAGTATTTTGAAAAAAGCCCATAACATGCATTAAAACATATTTTGACAGATTTTGCTTGTGTGTGTATATGTGAACTCTATTATTTTTGCAGCTTTCTCAGAAGTCCAAAGTTTTTTCAACATTTAATGAAAATAAACAAAGTAATCCTGTCTTAATATTTTTTTCCTATACCATTTGTAAGTAGATTCCAGAGGCATTTCACACACCCAAGCATTTAGCATATGTTTCCTAAAAATGAGTACTTTCTCCTACATAACCTCAAAGTTTTTCTCTGCTAAGAAAATTTACCAGACCTTATTCAGATATCCCAACTGATTCCAGAATATCTTGTTTTAATCAGGATCCAGTCGGAGGCCACACAGCTGCACATAATCAAGAGTTTGAGGTAAGCCTAGGCAACAGTTAGACCCAGCCTCAAAAGGAAAAAGCAAAAAATAAAAGTTCACACATTGCATTGGTTGTCCTGTCTCTTTAATATAAAGTAGAATAGACACATACTTTTCTTTATGACTTTTTCCCCCTGAAGTCCAGACCAGTTTCCTGCTGAATGTCCCACATTCTGGATTTGTCTGATTGTTTCCTCCTGGCATTTCAGTTTGTTGCACTATTCCTGTTTTCCCTATAAAACGCAAACTGAGGCTGGAGACTTGAACAGATTGAAGTTAAGTATTTTGGGCAAGAACCTGTTGCTAATGATACTCCGGATTCAAGTTGTGTCATGTTTGGAGATGCATAATTCAAATGATTCCACTGTTACAATGCTGAGTTTGGTCACCTGGTCAAAGGGTCACCTGGTCAAGGAGCCACCTGCCTAATGTCTCCTTGTAAAAGGTACATTTTCCCCTTGGTAGTCTGAGCAGTGAGACTTTGACTTGTGAAAATATTTTGTTACCAAATTATCTCTCATCTAAGGATTGTAGCAGCCATTGCTGGTTATTGCCTGAATCATGCAGTATGTGGGGGAGGATCACATCTTATTTGCAATGAAAGAAAGGGTTTTGGCCAAAGGAAGGATATAACATAATTCACACTTTAGAAGATCACTTTAATGATTTGACTTTTATTATTTTAGTAGTAGTAGTAGTAGTACCAGGGACTGACCCCAGGGGTGTTTAACCATTGAGCCACATCCCCAGCCCTTTTTATTTTTTATTTTGAGACAGGGTCTCAGTAAATTGCTTGGGGCCTCGCTAAGTTGCTGAGGCTGACTTTAAACTTGTGATCCTCCTGCCTCAGCCTCTGGAGTCCCTGGGATTACAGGCATGCACCACCATGCCAGGCTTCAATGGATTTATTTTTTTAAAAAAATACATCCAGGCACATCAGCACATACCTGTAATCCCAACGACTAGGGAGGCTGAAACAGGGGGACTGCAAGTTCAAAGGCAGCCTTTTCTCAATTTAGGGAGGCTCTCTACGCAACTAGACCCTGTGTCAAAATAAAAACAGCTGGGGATGTGACTCAGTGATAGAGTCCCTGGGTTCAATTCCCAGTATTGATTTAAAAAAAAAAAAAAAAAGATATTAGCAGTGGGTGGGAAGAAGTGATCAAATTAGCTATATACTTTGAAGGTCCCAGGGGCTCCTTATTCTGTGTCTGTAGGGATGGGATTAAAGTGTATAGAAAAGACAGGGCTGTCCCATCAATATGTATATGCAATATGTAATGCACCATTAAAAATGTGGAAAAAAATCAAAAGGATGGACCAGAAGTGTGGCACAGTGGCAGGGTGCTTGCCTGCATGTGCCCTGGGTTGGATCCCAAGTGCCTCTCCTGCCTAAGAAAGGGGAAATTAAAAATCTAGAGGAGGGCTGGGACTGTGGCTCAGCGGTAGCTCACTTGCCTGGCATGTGTGAGGCACTGGGTTTGATTCTCAGCACCACGTATAAATAAATTTTAAAAATAAATAAAGATCTATCAACAACTAAGAAAAAAATTTTTTTAAATCTCCTAGAGGAGGACTGGGGTTGTGGCTCAGAAGTACAGTGCTTGTCTAACATGCATGAGGCACTGTGTTCTCAGCACCACATAAAATAAAAAATAAAGATATGGTGTCCACCTATAACTAAAAAATAAATATCTAAAAAAAAAAATCTCCTAGAGGAGATTAAGAAGGCACCGAAACACAACGTAGGATTCTGGGTTGAATTCTGAATCAGAAAAACTAAAGTACATGGTTTAGTTAAAACACATTAATCTTGGCTCAAATAATTGTATGATGGTTGAAAGTAATGGAAACTGGGTGAAGGGTACTCTGCACTTTTCTTGCTGTAAGTCCACTGTAAGTCTTATAACTATTTCAAAGTAACAGATTTAAAGAAAATTTTTAAAAGAAGCTCATCTTCCCTTAATAGTAATAACCCTTACTCCTAGATTTGTCCACTGAGCAACTGGGTGATTGATGATAGAGCCATTGGTTTAGAGAGGGAAGACTTGGAGAAGAGTGGGATTAGGGATTGGAAAGGGTTCTGGGTTTAGATATGTTAAAGACAACTGTTAAATACATAAATGTGGAGTTGAAAACTGGAATATTTGAGTCTGGGGATCACAGAAGAGTATGGAGCAGGAAACCTAAATTTTGGAGTCTTTGGGATACAGATGGTATTTGAAGCCATGCGACTGAATAAAGTCACATAGGAGATGAGAGAAGATGAAGGGAGGGGTCCACAGGCTGAACCCTCCAACATTTAGGGTTTACCTACAGTGGGAAGAACCAGCAAAGGACATTGATGGTGAATTTGAAGGCGGAAAGGCAGGAGAGTAGGTCTAGAAAGGCAAGGAAGGACAGTCCCCCAGGAAGGAGGCAGCGCTCAGTGTCTATGCTGCTGAGACATGCACTAAGGACCGGGCTGGGATGTAGCTCAGTGGTAGAGCACTGGCCTAGCATGCATGAGGTCCCCGGAGTCACACACCACGCACATACTCACAATCAGACAAATACAAACTGAGGGATGGTCTACAAAATAACTGGTATTCTTTAAAAGTGTTGAGGTCATGGGCTGGGGACATAGCTCAATTGGTGGAGTGCTTACCTTGCATGCACAAGGCCCTGGGTTCAATCCCCAGCACCATACACACACACACACACACACACACACACAAGTATTGAGGTCATGAAAGTCAATAAAAAAGTAAACTACCACAGACTGCAGAAGACGAAGGAGACATGGAAACTAAGTGCAATCTTGGATTGGACCCTGGAATGAGGAGAGGACATGAATGGAAAAGATGGAAACCTGAGTGGAAACTGCCACTTGGAATAATGTCATACTAATGTGAATGTCTTAGTTTGAACAAATATAGCCTTTCAGCATAAGATGCTGTCATTAGGGGAAGCTGGATGAAGGATGACATGCAAGAACAACTACTTCAAAGTGAAAAGAAAAAAAGATGCTATTAAAACATGAGATGATATTGAGGAATGGGAGAGTCTGACTCTAATGGCTTCCCACTAGCTGCTGTAACCAATTACTACAAACTTAGAGGCTTAAAACAAAGTTTATTAGCATTCAGTTCTGGATGTCAGAAATCTAAAACGAA